GCAAATCGAACCCAAGCCTGCGGCAAGGAGTCCAGCCTTGCCACATGCAGTGGAGGTTGGTTTTTGTGCAGCGTTATTCTGGCCAGTGGTAGGCCTGTAAGGCAAACCTAAACACACTAGCAGACTTGTGCAGCGTGCTTTAGGAAAAGGCTATAACGTTTAGGGTGTTTGTACCATTTTTTTTACTACATAAATCTAGCATTATATAATTTAATATTTTCACTTTTAAATAACCTATTTACAAGCACACACAAAATACGTTTTTTTTTTTTCAGCAACCATGCCAGTTTATTAACTGTCAAGCCAACAAAAGTGTTGCTAACGCCTGACCATTGCAATCATCAGATATTTAGCTGTTCCAAGTTTTAAGTTCTGAAGTCAAATCCCGGTTCTGCCACTCGTGGCTTTGCAGAGGTCTTTAACCTCTTTGAGCTTATTTCCTCAGGTGGTTACGAGGTTTAAGTAAAATAATGACACTGTTTTCACTCCCAGTTCCAGCCAACACGGGATCACGGCCCTCTGACCTCCCTCTCTTAGAGCATTTGCTCAGAGCATTGTAAATGCTTCCCCTGCCCCTTTAGCAGTATAGGTACCCCTACAACTCAGGGCTGTCTTCCCCAAGATTTGAATGCCATTCTTCTGACATAGAATCATCAGGAAAGGTAGGACTTCTTTCTCCCGCTCTTTTTGACAGTGTAGAAGCCTAATGTCTCAAAGGCCAGTCTCAAAGCACAGAGATGGCTTATCTGCTTTGGAAAACCCTCTTAACTGCTTCTGGTAATTTTTCCCTCTCCTTCGGCCCTTTCTGCTACTGTGACCATTACTGCAAAAAAAAAACTGTTCAGGGGAACAGAAAAGAAATCTTGCTTTCCCATCACTAGGTTCAGGGCCCGGGCACCAAAGAGATAGAAACAAGAGAAAGCATGCAAAGTCATTGAAGATAAATTTACAAGACACCAAGCAAGAGCCCATTGTCTTAGGTGCATAGGAACAATGCTAAGGTACCAGATTTTCCAAAAGAGAAAGCTTTATTGAAGGTTAACTAACAGGAGACAGGAAGTGAGCTCATATCCATCTGTCCAGCTGGCCAGGGATGTGGGTTTTAAAGGGCTTTGGGGGGAGTTGATGGGTCTGACAGTATCTTGGGTCTTGATCAGACGCAGGGTGTCTTCCAAGGTTTTGGGTATTCTAGTCCAATGTTACAGTTCATGGTCTTGGCTATTTGATTTTAGCTGGTATAGCTCCCGGTCCTGATTCTAAGGTTCTGCTGGACTGAGATTTTTTGGTTCCATCCAGCGTGGGAGGTCATCCTTTCAAACTTGAAAGTGCCTTCCAGGAAATGCTCTAAAACATGTTACACAACTATTGGAAATGAGTTTATTTTAAATTGCCTAGCAGTAGGATAAGAGCTTAATTCCATTCTAATTTGAGCATTTTACAGGACAGGAAGGATGGGAGCCCAGTAAAATTGGAGAAATCAAGAGAACAGAGGACTTATTAGCATGCATGAGACAAGAGCAGCTGTGTTTGTTGGGGGCATTTATCTAAGTTGGGCTTCTGTCCTCCCGCTGAACCTTGGAGACAGAGGGCTCATGCTTCTGATGTCCCATTCCTGGGAGGGTTTGCAGCCCTAAAGGAGGCTGCTAGCTGCAACAGATACACATTTACGTTTGTCAGCCCCATGTGGAAATGCCTAGCAAAAGCTGGGGCTCTAAGGCTCAGGCTGAAGTTCAGCAGGAGGCTTCAGAAATAAAAATGCGAGATGCTAGGGGAACTTGGAGGCTTTTATGCTAAGTTTGAAAGATAAGCAGAGAAGTATGACTGGACACAGGAGAATATTTTCCAATTGCAGTAAACTGAGGGACTTAGCAGGACCTGTTTGTTGAGATTCTCCTTTGTGTCCCTAAGCCTTGGAGACTAGGCTTTTCCTCTCCTCTGGCTGTGGCAGGGTATCTCTTGAGTGAGGATATCAGGACGTACTTTGGAGGAATATCAGAGTATTCTTTTGTGGTCTGCTTCTGGGACAAAGCACGGGAGAAGATCAGACAGTCTTCCTGCTTCAGTGGTTTTGTCAAATGCCAAGATGCCATGTTTGGGGATTGTATGTTCTGATCCCCATCATCTGTTTCTCTCTTTGACCAGCTTTGTTTGACCCTGCTCCTCTCCTCTTTGCCTGGGTAGGGACATCTGTGAGGAATCTCAGGTTCCATTTCCAGTGGTTGGAACCCAGATGACTCATGTCTGTGGCCTTGTAAACAGCCAAAGCAGACCTCACGGTGGACACACACACTTGGCAAGTCTAGAGGGACAGTAAGTGCAGATTTGGCCCTGGGTGGATGCGGCAGTGTGGGACATCCTTCTGTAGCTTGGGTGAACATTGTCCCCCACTAGGCTTGCATGGGTGACAAAGGCTGAATGGGCTCAGTCAAAAGAGATACGAAGACTTGGGAAGGCGAATAGGACCACTTGGAGCAGAGCTGCAGCTCTAGGGTCAAGGGTGGAGATTTTGGGAGCCAAAGAAGAGACAATGGAAGGAGGACATCAATCCCTTGTTTTCTCACTGTGGAATTCCAGCGGGAAACAAGTCAGCCCGAGAACAGCAAACTACTCAATCAAGGTCGCCTTGTGTTCTCTTTGTGCCTGAGTATTTCAGGGAAGCTGGGCCCAGGAAGATGCTCAGGCAGAGAGGTGTGGAGGAGGTAAGCGGGGGAGAGCAGGGCTGAAAGGCTACACTCACCTTCTCTAGCAGGCAGGGGAGGGTACTGAGCACTGGGTCGGGTGGAGTCTTCTCTATCATGGGACTGCATGTTCTGGACACCAAAGATGATAGAATATGTGACTATAGTGATTGTAGGTACATATATAATGCAAAGGAGAAAACAAAAGATCCAAAGGGCTACCAGAATTTTTATCCTGGTGAAGACTGCCAACCCAGAATAAAGCTTGAAAGGGACAGAAGAAATAAAAACAAAGCTGTGTTTGGATAACGTCGTAAGACCTGTTTGTTCAACAAACTGGTCATAGCAAGATGACTTGACTGAAATAGGCTCCCATTGTCTCTGTCCAGGCCACATAAAAGCCTCTATCCTAGGGGAGATGGGTTCCAGGGAGGACCTGGAAGCTGGATGGTATGGAATTAGGAGACCTGTGCCCCCCACCCTCATGCATCTTCTGATTTTCTCTGGGAAGTTAGATGGGGGTGATGCTTTTCCCTGTCATCCCCCTGTTATGGTTTATGACTGTGTCCCTCAGGCCTCATGAGTTTGCATTGTGTATTTGTGATTGGTTCATTGTCTAGTGCTTGGATTGATGGTGTCAGTGCTCCACCCACATAGGGGTGGAGCCAGGATGTGGTGTAATGGCAGGAAGAAGGTGTGTCTTACTCTTTGCTGGTTCCTGCTTGCTGCTGGTGGCCATCATGAAGTACAGCCCAGCCATGCCCACCTGCCTTGGAGCCAACTGAGTGTGGACTTAAACCTCCAAAAACTGTAAGAAATAAACCTTTCCTTTCCCAACTTTGGGCTTCAGGTATTTTGTCTCAGCGACAATTAAAAAATAACTAAGACAGCCCCCCTTCTCCTTGAAGTTTGGGGGATCAGAGTGGAGAGAACCTTTGCTTCATTTCTGGGGTAAGTGCCAGAGAAGTGTTGCCCCAGGATAGACGTGACCTCACTGCTGTCTTTGTGGTCAGTGATAAGAACAGACATCACAGGGGGCTTGTTACAGCTTGACATGGTAGATGACTACCTGGGTCCCCACTGCCAGGTGAGTCTTTCTGAGCACTGAGTGCCAACTTCTCAATCAATCCTGATCAACCTCAATGGGGGAAGAAACAATGGCTCCCAGATAAAAGGCTGAATCAGCAAAAATCATACATAACGATATGATCACCACTGATACCTTTCCCTTTGACTACCAGGTCATGTCCCATGACTATACAGCAAGAAAGTAAAAACAATGATAAAATAGAACATGTCTTAGTTATTTTTCTTGTTACTAAAACAAAATACCCCACATCCAAAGTTAAAGGAGGAAAGACTTATTTCAGCTCACACTTTGTAGAGGTTTCAGTCCACCTGGCTGGCGTTAAGGTAGCACAGCATCACAGAGGAGAAACAGTCCATGGTGTGGCCGGCAGAAGGCAGCGAGCAGACCGGCAGCAACTTGCCCTTCCCTTTCGTCCCATCCAGGATGTTAGCCTTTTGGGAGGTGCCACCCAGAACTATGCTAATTCCAATCAGTGATCTAATTTAGTACCCACTTTTTGGTCCAGCATCACATGCCCTTCAGCCACTCTGAAGAAAAGCCCCACCTATGAGCATGGAAAGCTTTGCAGGGCACACTCAATACAAGGTAGTAATGCCAAATGTCCAGAAATCCTTGGTAAGAAATCCTGAGACACTTCTTGAGAGCATAGTTTTTTCTCACATGCTTCATGTTAAAGGCTTGCTATTAGCACAAGGTTTGCAAGATTTAAGGAAGAAATAATGTAGATCCTCCTTGTGTGAGTCAGCTTTCTGTTGCTGTGACAAAATACCTAAGACAATCCACTTAAAAGAGGGAAGGTTTCTTTTACAGTTTCATGGTCGGCTGACTGTTGCTTCTGGACTTGCCTTGGGGAGCTGATGAGGGGGCCGGCAAGGCTGCTGATCTCCGGTTGTGGCTTGGCAGGTAAGGCGAGAAGGGAGAGAGTGGGGAGGGGGGTGGCAAATGAACCACAGGTCAGATCCTGACCCCAGAAAAATGGCTCAGCAAAAACTGCCTTTCCAGGAAGGATTTTCAGTTAGAGGCCTTAGAAAGAGCTGCAGATGTCTGGACCTACAAAAAATGAAATGGGAAGTCTTTTCTCTCTGAACTCTGGATTTGGAGGCAACAATCTGGCAATCGTGCAAGACCAAAATAAAATACTGTCCTAGGGTTCATTAGTAACTCGAAAACATCAAAAGGAAAGGACTCCTAAAAGAATGAGGAAACAAACCATCCACACACATTTGCATTAGACTATTTTTTTAAACTAAGTTTATTGGTACATTTTAGGTACACACAGTGATCACATTCATTATAGAGGACATCAGACTCTTTTTGTCATGGTATTATTTGTGCTGTTAAGAGACAAGCATGAGTAAGTGCTGGGTGTGGTGGCACATGCTTGTAATCCTAGCACTCAGAAGGCCGAGGCAGGAGGATTGATCGTCATGAGTTCAAGGCTAGACTTAACTGCCTAGCAAGACCCTGTCTCAAAAAAAAAAAAAAAAAAAAAAAGAATAAGCAGATAATTATATTTTCTCCCAATTTCTAATTATTCTTTTTAAAAATGAATGAAGGAGGAAAGAATTAACATTTAGTCATACCTTTTTGATATAAGAGGAAAACATCTTACTCTTTATGTATCATTGTAGATATGTGTTTAAAAATAGTGGTCTCATAACTAGAGAGCTGAAATGGAAGCCAAGAAAATGGGAAACATGGATATTTCTCAGTGTTGTAGCTTGGCATAACTGATGCCATCTTGTGCCCTGTAGTTGACTCATGCCCTGTATTTGACCCAGAAGAATGGAAAATTACTCAGGGTACAAGTCCCGTGAGAAAAGCACAATGAGCTGTACCCACAAAAGAGAAAAATTAATCTGCTCAACAAAGAAGCAGGATACAGGTGTCAACCAAAATTAATGTAAGATTCTAGCTAAATTGTCTCCAACAGGGTGTCTTGTTTTGCATTTTCTGTAACTTTCCATTTCAGGGCCACACGGTTGGACTCTGAAACAGGAGTCTATGGGAGTGGTTGCTGAGCTCAGCTAATAAAATTCCAAAATTCAAAGTAAGGACTCAAATGCTTATAAAATCAACCTTTACACGGTCTATATAGTAAACATCAGTTGGGGGCATGCGCAGTTCTATGAATCTGTACACATAATCTGTGTTCTTATAATCACCCTCCCAGAAAAGGGATGGAACAATTTTAATCACCCTCAAAACACTTTCAAACTTCCCTGTGTCTTCAGATCTTCCTCCCCCAACCCTAGATAACCATTTGTCTAAGAACAGAGGTTCTTTCATTTTTGCCTTTAAGGAAGATACGTACTTCGTACTTACTTGAAACTGAGTTTTTTCACTTGGCGTAATACGTAAATAATTGTCTTTTTGTTGTGCTGCTGTTGAGTATGAGATAAGAGAGCAGGAAAGACAGTGATAGCAGAACGTGCACAGACTACATCTTCACATCCTACAGCAGTGGAGAAGTAAATAAGGCGCTATTGAAACTCGTATGCAACAAGGGCTTCATCTATTTAAAGCATGCGCAGTCCAACCTGCCCTTTCTATTTTGGGCATGTTCAAATATACATCCTCTGGAGGCCTGCTACAGGCAAAGTCACCTCCCCACAGGCTTTCCTTAGCCTTTGCATATGAAAATATAATTATTTGCTTTTTAATTAAATTTGTTGTTGGTTGGGCACTGAGGTGATTCTATTGCCAGCAAGATAATCCCTAGCAGCACATTTTCCTGTTCCCTGGAAAAGTGCTGACCTTCCTGGCTGTCCTGGCTTTATTCAGCAGGGCTATGCTGCCCAGCACCATTTCCCATTCCACAAAATCAAGCTGGAAATCTACACAGAGCAAGAAAAAGCGTGCCTCGCATCTTACTGCCCAAGGGACATTTCTGGCTTCCACGACAATGGATGCATTTCTTTGGCTGATAAGTCCTGCTCTTTTGTATGCTGGAAAGCATTATGTGGTAAGGAATTAATATTGTACCCTGGCATTACTACTGAGGTTAACATATTAGTAAATAGTGAGATCAATACCTGCTGAGTAAATAAAAGCAGCAGCCTCCATTTCCAGCTATCTACACACACACACACACACACACACATATGTCATGTAGGGGTGGGAGAAAGTTTTGCAATTTGAAATAGGAAGGCTGGCGAACAGTGTACACTGCAAATTGGTTTTCTCTTATGCTTTTAATGAATGCTTCCATAAGGACAAAAATGTCCTGTGGGATGTGCAAGATGGACCATGGAGCCTAGATAATAGCTATGTGAAAACTGACTTGACGAAGTCAAATGCTTATTATCAGGCCATTTGAATTGATCAAGTTTGCCAGTGGGCTCAATTCTGTACTTCCTGGAGTTTTCCTTAAAATGTGTTACAGTTATAGATGGATTTGATTTCAGTTTTAATTTCTTATTAAATTTCCTTTGAGGTTGACCATGTCCTCTGTTTGCTGATAGCAACTTCATACTTGGGAATTATGAAAAACTTGCTTTCAGACAGCAGAGTAGTCCAACCACCAACCCGAGCCCTGACAGCTATTTATATTACCATTGTGCTGAGCATACTAGAAAACTGTTCAGCGATTGGTCTCTTCCCCTGGAGAAAGATGAAATACTGCATTAAGACTGAAAAAATGAGTAGATCATTGTCCATAACTCATTGGACCCACAGTTAACTATACTTCCTCTGGCCGGGTAACCCTCCCCTGAAGGGGAATATTAGGATGAAATGTCTCTTCTTGAACTGCATAGATTTTGCTGCCATCAAGCAGCAGGAAAGGCTTCCTCCTTGGGCTCTCATTACTCCCTGAACACGTGCCTATTACCATTGCTTTAATGCAGCTGTAGGACTTCAGGGATGGACACATTTGATTTTTTGTCCAGAAAGGAGTTCAATAAAAATATGTTCCAATAAATGCTTATGTATTGGGAATTATCATTTTACCATTGTTTCTAGAGCTAACAAGTAATACATGATGGCTTTGGAAACGGAAGTTTGGGGTCTCCTCTGGCATAGAGAGGGAGTTATCAGCCAGGTTTTCCCTCCCTGGTCCATGAGGCCAACGTTTGTGACAGAGCTCATGTAGTATTTTGCTTTACAGTTGCTGTTTATTACCTTTCTTATTCTGGACAACTTACCAACATCTAATTCTGAAGGCTTAATACTCTCAAATATGCTTGCCCTGTTTAGTTCTGGAAGAATTCCGCCCTGAGCAGGGTGGCATGATTGGTGCCATACCAAAGGCAGAAAACCACCAAAGTGGTGAGGAGTATTGTCACCCTTTAGCCACGACTGTGCCTCTCCTAAATGGAGTACACTGCTCTTTCCCCAGTAACATGGGATTCTTTGCAATCTGAACTTCTAAGCATCCTGCCTCTTCTCCCAGTGCCACTCCCGGGAATCTATTCTGAACTTCCACCTTTAGTAGGGTTGAAATAGCAATAAGCAAATGAAACCTTTTGCCATAATAGAAATCTGGGCACAATGTGTAACACAACTGTGTTCAACCATTGACCAACAGGCAGCATAAACTTTTCTTTTTTGAAAGGAGGACACAAAAAGCCTAAGTATCTTAGCTTTCAGCTCAAAGTCAAATTCCAGATAGGGATGGCATCCAAAAAGTATTGAAAGAAGTTGGAATCATGGAAGCCAGGATTGCTGAACGTTGTGGGACAGAGTTCTGGAAATGTGGGAGTTCCACGGATCTGTACAGGGCTCCTCTTTGCTCTTTGCTAAGTCTCAAGCAACACAAATGCAGAGTGAAATTCCACAAGGCAAAGAAAGCCTAGAGTGTTCTAAACAGAACAATTTGCAGAGCTCACAAGAGACAGGGAAACGTAACTGGGCTGGGAAAAGTGGAGATCCCAGCGGATAATGAGAACTGAGGAAATCAGAACTGGCTCTGGGATGAACATAACACTGGACTCATTCTAGCAAAGACTAAAAAGAGAATGCTGATTATCAAACCGGCCTACTATTTTCTAAAACAAAGACCTTCTCATTAAAAGAAAGAAGCAAAACTCCCATACTCAACAACCTAAAAATCACAGAATTCAGCGTTTAGTAAAAAATTACTAGGGTTACTTAGACGCATGAACTGTGACCCATACCAAGGGCAAAAATTACCTATGAAAGTAAACTGGAAAATAACAGAGATGATAAAATTATTATACAAGACTTTTCAGGATGTGAATTATAACTATACAGTGTTTAAAGGAAAACATAAACATAATGAGAGAAAAAGAAGACAAAAATGGACCTTTCAGGAATAATCCAAGACCTACTGCACAGTTTTCACTGGATAGGATTAACACCAGCTTAGGTACTGCAGAAGAAAAAAATTAATGGAATTGAAGATAGAAGTAGAATCTATCAAAAATAATTGGAAAAACTCAGAGACTTAATGATCTAATGAACAGTAAAAAAGAATCGGACATGCTTGTAACCAGAGGACACTGTGGTATGGTGAAAGGCAGAGAAAAAATGAGAGAAATAATATCTGAAACATTTTCCAAATTTTATGAAGGCAAAAAATCCCAATTTAAGAAGCTCAACAAAACATAACAAGAACAAACATCCATAAGTCTGCACTGTGCACATCCAGGCTCGCAACAAAGCACAATCAGATTTCTAAAAATCAGTTACACAAGATAGGAAAAACACTGATTGAAAGCCATACAAATCACCATTAAAGCAATGAAAAAAAAATGTCAATATGGAATTCTATGACCTGGAAAGATACTCTTCAAAAATTAACCCTCCACAGCACTCTAGTTAGAAACAAGACATGAGAAAATCAGTTATCCTTGGACCTACATTTCAAGAAATGTTGAAGAAAATTCTTTATGTAGGACAAAAATGATATGAACTCAAACACAAACTCATACAGAAGTAGGTAAAGAACATAAAACAATAAAACCATGGGAAAGCAACATTTTTTTCAATCAAAAAAGTATTATTCAAAAAATAAGATTCCATTTTATGCTGGGAACAGCAAGCCACTTTCATTATAAAGACATACATTTGAAATAAAAGGCTGAGAAATATATGCCACGAGGACACCATGTGTAAGAGAGTTAGCTCAAGTACAATAATATTGAGCAAAGTAGACTTTTCAGGGATAAAGTGGGTCATTTCATAAAGATAAAGGGAAAAATTCACCCAGGAGATAAAACATTAAATATGAATGAGTCCAATAACTCAGCTTAAAGATCTATGAAGCAAAAATGGACAGAACCGAGGAACACTGTCAGCTAACTTGACCGATGTTTAGAGAGCATTCCACCCAAGATCAGTGCGGCACATTCTTTTCAGATGTGCAGAAAAGGTTCACCAAAATTAACCGTATCCAGGCCACAGAATACATCTTAAGAAACTAAAAAAACACTCTGTAATGCAGATCACGTTGTCTAACCAGAGAGGAATTATATTGGAAAGAAATAAAAGAAAGATATCTGATGCCTAAATAATTAGAAATTAAACAACAAATTTACCAATAATCCACTTGTCAAAGGAACAGCCACAAGGGCAATTATAAATTATTAAAAACAAAAATGAAGCATTCTGAAATTTACGAATACTCAAGTAGTGATTAGAGAGTAACATAGCTTTTGACAGTGTAGTAAAGGAAAGAAGTCGTGATACAGTGATCTAAGCTGTCTGAAAAGCCAGAGGGAGAAGAAATCAAACCCAAACTAAGAGGAAATAATGAGGATAAGAAAAGAAATAAATGAATTAAAAAATGGACACACAAGTGAGAAATTTTTACAAAGAAACAGACACTCATTCCATGAAAAAATCAATTAAGTTGATAAAATATTTACCAGACTAACCAAAAAATAGAAAAAAGATGCAAATTTACTAATATTGGGAGTTAATGAAGAACGATTTCTATAGGTCTTACAGCCATTTAAAAGAAAAAAGGGAAATTTAAAAAGTATGCAAATAAATTAAAAACTTAGACAAAATGGACAAATTCTTTGAAACCTGTTATCTCCACCGACTTAAGGGAAAAAATGAAAATAGTGCTATGTTTATTATTGAAATTAAATTCATAATGAAAATCCTTCCTACAAAGAAAACCATAGGCTCAAAGTATTTTACTATTGAATTCAATTTTTTAAAAACATCATATCAATCTTTCACAAACTATTTCAGATACTAGAAGGGAGATATTATTGTTTTCAGTTCATCTTATGAAGCAAGCATAACCTGACACCAAAATTACAACAATGCAAAAGGAAAAATCTAAAGATAACTCATGTGTCACTGAATAATGAGTCATTCATGCGCAGATGAAAAATAAGTAATAAAACTTAGTAAATAAAATCTAGCACTATGTGTGTATTTGTACCAATTATGAGAAAGTATGGTTTATATTGATATTGAAAAGTTGACTAAATATTTGAAAAATCTATGTAATTTACTACAGTAATAAAGAGAAAACCATATGAAAAAACCAAAAGACAGAGGGCAAGCACTTGATACAATTCAACAGT